TGGGTGAGGCTGAAACTGACCCTTGATTCAAGCCTTCCCCCAGCAGCTTCATGTCAGAGACAAGATTTGAACCTTGGACTCTTGGTCTAAATCCAGCACTGGATGGAACTCTGTATAAAGAATGATCCTTTATAGTTAAATATGTATGGGATGAAGGAATTGCCAAGTCTGGGTTGAGAAATTTCTGGAGATTGTGGGATAGGGTGGGGTATAAATTGAAACAACAGCAACAACAACAACAATGTTTCATGGGAGGCACCTTACTGGGGCATAATGCTACCCTCCATACAGCCATTTTCTCCAGGGGAACCAGTCTCTGGAGTTTGGAGATCAGTTGTAATTTTAGTGACCTCCAGGCCCCACCTAGAGGTTGGCAACCCTATGCGGAGCATGAGAAAGAGACAAATAGGTCCTCTGGTGTCCATTTCCACGGGCAAAACTGGTGCAGGAGGAAAGCCGGAATCCCTCCTTTTCCTCTTGCAGCATTTGGAGCCATGCAGTGACAGAGGTTTTTTTTAAAAGGTTCATCACTGTGTAAATGCGTAACTGAGTTGGTTCAGGAAAGCAAAACCCAACTTGTTTTACATGTAAAACAAGGGTGGTCAATCTTGAAAGCTATTCTTTGCTTCAGAAAACACTCCATAATTCCATCAATAATAATTCCACCAGGAACAGGTAACAATAGCATTATGTTATGTAAATCTATTTTCCACTTTGTATTTCTTGAATACTTTAAAGGGCTATTTTGTGTGTATGTCTGCAATGTTGCCAGTAAGGTAACTTATAAATAAGCAGGTATCTTACCCCATTGCCAATTCTGCTACCATTCTGCCTTCTAATAAATTTAGTGGTTTTTCCTCCCGTACGGTATTCTGGGAAAAATAGGTTTGCATAGGATTCTGAACTCTTAACTAAAGAGTGCTTCAGAAATAACATGATTAAAGAGAAGCAGGGTACTTTGGTGCTATTTAGATTACTACACATGCATCAGTCCTGGGTGAGCTTTCCCTCTAAAGCGTGGAGAAAAAGTGGGCAGTTTTATTTTAAGAAACCTGTATTTCACATCTGTTTTAATAAGCAGCTGGGATTCTCCAACTTCTGTGCTAAATTATCTTGTACAAATATAGCAATTCCAATTTATACCCCGCCTTGCCGGTACAAAAGAGAACCTTCTGCCCAACTGCTTTGAAACAAACTGCCTGTGAGTTCTATCCATGTCCAATGACATCTTACAAGTTTTTGCAGCAAAAAAAGGGTCAAGAGCTTTAGCCAATAATTGGAGATTGCATCAGATGGCTCAGTTTTGAGTGTCCTCTCCTTCCTCCCTCCCTCTCACACGCACCTCATTCCCTTTCCTTTCCATCCCGACCCAAAGAACTTCGTAAATAACACATTTCATCCCCAGGCTATGTTCAATCACTGGGTTAGCTCCAGGAGATTATCTCCAGTGACAGAAGGGGGGGGGGGAATTCTGGCCCACTCTCCTCTCCTGCTGCAAACTTTGGACTCCCCCACCATGCTGCTCCTGGCTGAGGGGTCCCCGTCTCCTAGGGGCAGGGTTTCAGTGGACCGTTTTGGACTGCACTAGGAGGGCTAGGCAAGGAAATCCATTTTGTCAGGTATTCCTCTGGATCCGAGCCACTGATTGAGAAAGCTAATATTTGATTAAACATTTCACAAAATAGAAAGCTGCTTATCTGCTGCTGTACAGATAGTATTGCTACATTTACATTACTTGTGGAAAATCTAAACAAAAAGCAACTCAGACCGGAATCCTATGGACATCTGTGGGAGTAAGACTCATTGAACACATTGATAGGACTGCAAGGTCACAAGATCTTGCAATCAAAACTGAACTTTTGGATCTGTGTGTGTGTGTAGGCATTTCCAAACCATACAGGTCTATTGCTTCCCGTAAAGTTAGGAAATCTCCCCAGTAGGGTTGCCAAGCTCCAGGTGGTGACTGGAGGTCTCCTGCGATTATAACTGATCTCCAGGTGACAGAGATCAGTTCACCTGGAGAAAATGGCTGCTTTTGGAAGGTAGACTCTGGCATTAGACCCCACTGAAGTCCCTCCTCTTCCCAAACCCCACCCTCCTCAGGCTCCACCCCCAACACCTCCGGGTATTTCCCAACCTGGATCTGGCAACCCTTATCCCTGCCTTAACATCTGAACTATGTCAGTTCAAGCCCCGCGCTGGTGTGAGCAGCCAGCCTGTTGTCCCCAGCTCATCGTCCACCCAGCGATTCGAAAGCTCCGGCGAGTAGATAAAATGGGAACCGCTCCTTAGCGAGGGCGGGCACACCAATCTTCCTTCTGGAGGGCGTTAGCTGACGGTCGAACGTCGATGGTCACGGCTTGTAAAGGCAAAACAGCTTGCCGGCTACAGATCGAACTCCTGCAACGGACGTTCCGGCCAGGCTGTGGCAGTGTGGCGACAGACATACGGGTCCTGGAGCCTGAGCAGCAAGCAGCCGTG